CACCAATGATCTTACCAGCTGTGTTCACTATGCGTTGTAGTGTTTTTCTGCTGTATTCAGTGCAGCTCCCGCCCCACACAGTGATGCAGCTGGACAGGATGCTTTCAATGGTTCAATGGTTTACATATTCTGTGACCCGAAGAGTCCTTGTGAGTGATGAATTTGTAAAGGTGTGATTCCTCTCTTTGTAGACATGCCTCCGAGGATGCTGGGCCCCAAAAACCAGCTGATTAAAGTCATCGAGAACAACCGCACCTTCCTGGACTGTCCCTTCTTTGGGTCCCCTCTGCCGGAGCTACGCTGGTGAGCATCTCATGTGTTTTTGTTTACTTAAATCCAAAAATACTGAGAGCCCTTATCCATGTGTCACTGAGAAAGACACTAAATTGTTAACTTTATTGTTAAATTTTCAGTTTTTAAGCCATGTCTATGTGTTTTCTTTGTGTGTAGGTTTAAGAACGGACAGGGCAGTGGGCTGGACGGCGGTCAGTACCGTGTTTACATCAATGGGACCCTAGAGATCAAACGGGCCCGAGCAGAGGATGAGGGCACCTACACCTGCCTGGCCAACAGCATCCTAGGATCAGCTGAGAACCAAGTCCGCCTGGAGGTCAAAGGTCAGACATTACACCTCTGCTGCACTCAGACTCGTGTGAGGGATCCTGTTTGACTCAGCATCCAAAACTAGTCATCTTGCAACTTTGCCATGACATTTTTATATGAGGTTATTCTGTAACCATGTAACATCATGTGCAGCCTACAGCAGAGTACATGTGCTACAATCTGCTCCAACACGACTTTAAATTGATTCCAATTGCATGTCAGAATTGTGTGTGAAAGATGAAATTATTTTCTTTCCTCGTGCCAAACAGCTCCAATCTCTTGTGCCTTAAAACTAAACTGCCTTATCTTCTCATGTTTGTATTCAGACTGCATACACTGCAAAACATATCCATCCTAGTATTCAGGGCAGAACTGAACTGAAAAAAAATATATAATAATAATAAACAGGTTAACTATTCTGCCACTGGTTTGGTTGATATACATTTTCATTTCACATTCATTTTTTTTTAAATTCAAATTCAAAACACATTTTGTCATTCCTGTCTCCTACAAAATACTTTCACATCCTACGGGTTTGCTTAGTTAAACAAACTTTGGAAGAATCTGCTGCCTTGATTACATTTTCCAGTCCAACAAGTGAGATGCTCCTATGCTCCACAGAAAGTGTACCAAGGACGCTAAGGTGGACACTTGGATGTAGAAATCACTGGTGCCATTCCATTTTCTCCACTATAGATCTGCTAATGCAAATTAGTTATAAGTGAAGTTGTCTCACACCTGTGCAGATTTAGTTCACTTGCTTCAACAGAAAAAAAAAGTCTTAGAACCCACTGTGGTGGTATATTGGACAACAGGGTGGCCTTACAGCAGTGGTTCCCAACCACTAGGGGTTGCTAAAGCTTAATAGGTTGTCGCAAGGCCTTTTTGATTTTAAGCCATGTAAGAAAACTTAATAAGTATACACAGTAGGCCTGTAGAAGAAAAAAAAGGAAAGGAATATAAATTGTCTAATAGAACAATGACCAAGCATCAGGGACAAGAAAACACTACATTTGTCGGCCATCAGTTTCACCTTTCGCTGATTTTCAAGGATGCATCTAAATGTGTAAGTTCATGTAGTATGTGCACGTATGTGTTCCTCTTCAACCTCACTCCCACTCAGAGCCAACTCGTATTGTTCGAGCCCCGGAGCACCAGTCAGCCATCAGGGGCTCCACAGCCCGCTTTAACTGTAAGGTGAAGTCTGATCCTACCCTGCCCATCACCGTGACCTGGACCAAGGACGACAAGCCTCTCAACATGGGATGGAGGTAACGGCACCTACACTGACCCTAAAACATCTCTGATGCTTCAGTCCTGCATCCGTCAAAACCATGTCAAAAGTTGGTTTGACATATTACTGGAAAAATTTAATTCTAATACTCCCTTTCGTTTGTTTATTCCAATTCCCCCATAACCCCCACACCACCCATTCAGCACATTCACTTTTGAGACATTAATATAAAGTCAACTGTAAGGTAGATTGCTTTATTTAAAAAAAAGAAGAATTCAATCATAATCATATCCTCTTGTTGTATACATATATATCTGACTTTTAGGCTTTTAAATGTCTTAAATATAATTTTGATAGGTCAGACAAACTGACTGGAAAGCTGTGTTTTTGGTAAAAAAAATAAACTTTATTGATCATGCTGCAACTACAAAACGAAACTGACATGAAACCAATACAGATTTTCCTCCATATCCTTTGTATTTTTCCAAGTATGGACAGGTCTTTGCATTGCATTCATAATGGTCTTAAAAAGTCTTAAATTTAACCTGTTAAAACCTGCAGAAACTTTTTATACGACAGGGTAAATATAGGTCAGATATTTTGCCAAAAAAATCTTCAGTAATTTGCAGCTAAAAAAAATGTTTAAACACTGGAGTAATCAAAGTCAGCTCTAGCTCAAGTTAAGGCATACAACAGTAACTTGTCTTGGAGTGAAAACCAAGCTAAAACGTGCCAGGAGTATCTTTTGTAGTTTGTACAGATGTCAGCTCCAAAAGAGACAAAGTAAACTTGAAGCATTGCTGTATAAAAAGTCCTCTCTCTCTGTTTGTCTCCCAGGCTGAGGAAAGACGAGGAGTCACTGACCATCCCCAATGTGAACGAGGGCGACGAGGGAGCGTACAGTTGCACTGTTAAATCTGAGATAGACCAGGACTCAGCCTCAGCCCGCCTCACTGTGTTAGGTACACTCATATACGAAACAGGGCTGGAACAAGAATTTCTCCAAGTCTAAATAACACACAGCATCAGCTTATGTATTTTTCATGTAAAACTGTTCCTTGTAAAGAAACTGCTAACTTCAGCTGCCAGTTAAATGTTGTGAAGTAAAAGTTATTATATTTACATTTTAAATATAGTGAAGGAAAAGTAGGAAGTCTCTCAAAATACTCTTGAAATACTCAAATACTTGTACATATTTCCCTCTCTGACACAGAGTGTTGGTGCTTTATATATACTAATTTTTTATCCTCAGTTTTTCTTGACACTACTATTTTTCAGCTCTAGGTCTTCAAATGGAAATCATGCATGTTTTATCTTTGCAACTAATATACTTACCTAGTTTAGCTTTGACTGTACTTGTTCTACTGATTTAACAGTTTGCATGCAGCGTATTGAGGTACTGTAGTGCTGACTGTGTAGAAGGGCTGTAGTGAAGCTGTGCTGTAGACTAAGTTAGAGCATCCTGTCTGACCATTGCTTTGACATTTGAGACTTTTGCATTAAACTTACATTATGTCATTTTCTGATGCAAAAATATTTGTGAAAAGGGCTGCTATGGTCGCAGCGTAAACTGATGTTAATCCTTCGGGACAACAATGCGGCCATCAAAATATGTCCATAAAAAGTGCTTGTGTCTGACAACATTATGGAAA